TGGATATGTGCGCTATATAAAACTACACTATTATTATTATTATTAACGTTTCATTTTGCTAGCCGAGTTGAATCGAACATGTCTAAGCAACCCCTATCGCTGCCAAGAGGGTGTGACATATTCATTCACGGGGAAACTGACACCAGTTGATGATGAGGATTACCACTTTGTGTTCAGCACAGGTGAGCAGTCAACCAGAGGTGCATCCGTCTACCAGCGTGGTATCAAACTCGGGGCAGCACTAACAGACGGCGATAAGCGGTGGATTGTTGAGATTGACCACCAACCAGATCCAGGTGAGCACTTCTTCACATCCATCACACATTTTTATTAAACAGAAGTATGAAATATATAGTATATTGTTTCTCTTCATACTTATGCAATTCTTCATTACTAGGACCAATAACTATATAATTTTTAGAAAATGCCTGAAGTGGCGATGTAATAAAATAGCTGCTCGTTTGTTTGTGAATTTATGAATACCTGTATTTCATAATTCTATACTAATTGCATATTGTAGTATAATAATCTATGTCACCCGTATGTTAAAATATTAATGATAGGGTAAAACTATTTGTCTTCCTTATAGTTTGTTTTGTTGAAAATGCATGCTTTTATAATTAAAAATTAAAAATATGTATGATTATTCAAGAGCGATGGATGCAAATTGGAATTTCATGGACAAAATCATCAGGCATGCTGTTGTACATCGATGGCTATGTTGTTGCCGCAGATTATGTTGGGTATCGAAAGATTCGTGAGAAAGATTTGGACTATCGTCTGGCAATTGGCCGCCGGAATGACTTTCTGGGCATGTATTCCAAAATAGTCTTTCAGCAGTTTGCCTTCTGGGAAGAATTCGTTGGAAGCTGGAGGTCGCTAGAGTTTTTTGGTTTCGTTGGTAAGTTTCTGATCTACTTGCTTATAAATTCATGCTTTATTCATCCAAAGTCAGATGTAGCTATTTCTCTTCCATGTTGTGCATAGGTAAGGCATTGTCCAGACTAGAGCCAAATTGTATTCGACATGTAATATGCCTAAATATGGTCATGATGACATCACATCATTATATAGGCACATCATGACTACATATGGGAATAAACCAGTTTTTTGTCAAGTAAAATTTTATTGTCTGGACAGGACTTTTGATGAGTTTTGATGTAAAATCTCCAATATTGGCTCTTATAGTATGCATCTTCTTTTTCCAATCATTGGTCACTTGTGTCTTTTACCATTTTTGTTCTGCATGTCCGATCCATTTTTATTTTGCCTCATTGATTTAAAACAGATATAACGTTATGATAGATGGATAATAAACATTGGAAGCAATAAAATGATAAACTATTAATACAAAATGAGCCTGAAGCTGGGAAGACTACTTTCAAATGTGTACTCTGGTAGCAACATGTTTGATCATACAATTTTGATGAATTTGTATATAGAACTTGTAAATTTTGTAATGTTGATGTATTTAGTAATCAATTTCAATTTCAACAATCCCTCTATTCAATGTATTTATATGTTTTATATTGCATGTATATATGTGAGGTCTCACCACGAAATGAGACGCATCATTGATGAAATCATATTGAGATATTCACCAAAATAGGTCAAAGGCAACATTTAAAAAAAATTTTGATTTTAATGTTTTTGAATAACTTGATACTTATATTTTATAAGTTTTTTTTTTATTTATTTATTTATTTTTTATTTTATTTTATTCAAAGACCAAATTAAAGCTTATAATGTGATCTACCAAAATGTAATATAAACTCATTTTTTGATTTTCTAACGATGAGACTCATTTTGTAGTGAGACCTCACATATGTTTTTTATAATGTAATGCAATCAAATTCAGCCATTCGCTGCTGATTGCAAATCATATACCAGAATAAATAAATAAATAAAAAATAAAAATTTTGTTTTATAGAACAAAGCACTGCTCGACTTCCAATAGACATTAAAGACACACTGTAAGCATACTACAGTTTATCAGACCGTGTGACATACACAGAGTCGATATGCCCAGTGTTTTATATTAGATTGTTCACTGCTAGAATGATCAAACGAATTTAATCATTTTCTCATTTCTAGATTCAAGCTATTACAACAAACCGACCGAGTTCTGGGATGCAAAGCGTTTAATCAGTGGTACTATTGGAATGCTCCAAGAAAATAGAAGACTTCGAATGAACGAAACGATTTCACGCAACTTATTTGTAGGTCCTAGTGCTGGAGCCAATCTTATATCAAACAATATAGTGGATCTTATGGCTGATACTGCCCATTTGTATCTTGGTAAGATAGTACACAATATACAGTTTACATGATTTGGATATTCATTCATCCTTATAACATTTATTCAATTAATGATATGCCTCTCTTAACAATATTTAGCTTGTTGAAAGGGGTATCAGAAGACACATTTTTAAAGTGTGGTCTATATAGGGAAGTAAGCGCTCCTACTCTTGTTGAGATCTAGGTTCCCCTGAAGGGTCCCATCCATGGTTACAAAAATTAAATGCAAACAACTAAACATAAAAGTAAATAAGTAAAAATAAATGATAATAAAAAAAAAAAAAAGAAAAAGAAATGCAACACATCTAAACTTGCGTGCACTGGTTGAAAAATCTTGTTACACTAGATGAACAGGAGCCTTCAGCGTTGAACTTTAATAATGTTTATTTGGCAATTGTCAAGAACAATTTAGCCTGGAGTGAGAATTGGCACAACCCAAACAGATACTGCACTCACTCCACAATTAATAGAAGAAAATGTCCCTTCATGGAAGAAAAAGAAGATATTTTGTTGCTTATTCAGCAAATAAAATTATTTTAATCTACTGAATATTGATGTATTGATTAGGTCACATGGAGGGCAGTTGCTTGGTTTCTCCAATGCTTTGTCCTTATTGTAAAAAGAAAGAATTGAAGGACTGACGATTGATAATACATTTACATGATAATAATACAGCTATACATTGAATTTTGTATGTCACAACGAGAGGGGATAAAATTACATAGCAATATAATGACAAAATAAATTCCAGTATCTTCAAGTATAATTAGCATTTTTATATATGTTAATACATAATTAAATAAATAACAAACTCAACTGTATTTCTCCACTTGATGTAGTCTTAGAAGGCTACAATAATATTAAATCAAATCGCTGAGTTTTTGGCTAATCTGACTTATTTAACTTATTTAACCCGTTGAGCTACGTAAAGTTTATGTCAATTTTCAAATACCTATTTATGTTTATTTGTATACGTATTAACTTGTGGAATGTCTAATTCCTGTAAACAATAACTTTTCTTCTCTTATTTCTGCTGTTGCTATTTTTTCTGCAAAATAATAATGCCATTCTTAAGCCAGGTAGTTTATGTTCTAACTTCAATAGGCGCTTGTATCTTATCCAATAAAGAATTATTATTATCATTTTATATTTATTATCATTTTACACTTATTAAAATGGTACATGTATTCATTGTTCTTATTTAAGCTCTGGAGATGGTACTGCTTCTAATGGAATTGCTATTTACTTCAAGAATAACATGCTAGTGTTCGTTGTTTCTGCCGATGGAGAGACCATGTCAATTCAAGCAACTATATCGGAAGTAAGATATTGTTCCATTAGGGAAAATGCAAGCTTTTGTGAGCATGAGGGAAGCTTGCATGCTTTCCATTATGTACATCATTGCCTAAGTCAGTATTAGACAGTTAGATTTGTATACATCGATGGTTGAGGAATATTCTATATGGCCTATTGAAATTAAAAAGTAAAGATGTGTAGGGACCACAACAATGTAGTGCATATCACACTAGTAAGAAAATTAGAGTGATGAAATTGTTACTTATTTTTGATGATAATAATGTTTTTAGAAAACCATATTGACCCTATTGAGATTTGAACCCAAGACCTGCTAATTACTGTTTGGATACTCTACCATCTGGACTATGAGATCAAGTGGTAGAAATCCTTGGATTTTGCCATTAGGGCACGTTATTTTTCTCAGGGCATTGCATAATGCGCAATGAATCTTATAAAAGCACATGATAGTAACTTTCCATTGGTGGATCTAGGAATTTTAAATAGAGTGGGCCCAGGGAGGGACTTTGAGAGATAGAGGGTCTATACCACCTCAGCCTCACCATGTTTAGTGCTGAAGTAAGAAAATTTACGATTATGTCACCTCTAGGTGGCCGGAAATGGCAATCTCAGACTTAAAATTTGAATGTAATTTTCTATTTTTCTCCCAATTTTTTACAATTTCAAAAAATTTAGCGGGGCCACCCCCTCCCCTTTGAGTCCACCACTGCTTTGGTAAGGAGTTGCACCTCCACTGGTGGTAAATGATGATAATACTTTCTTGAAAAAAACATAACGTCAAAGATAGCACAAGACAGAACTCTCCCGTAGCAAAGTGAAGCGGAAGTATGTCATATCTTTTACGCATCTACAGACGTAGACGCCGCCCTTTTCTTTCCAATAATGACAATTTACGTACAGTAACTTTATCGTAAGTTTATCAATCGGAGATTTATCAGATGCATGCATCCACCAACGATGATAGTATATCGTACGCGGCGTCCCAGTAAATGAGCCTGGAGACAAACAAATTGTTACAGTTATATTCACCATACAATATATTCACCATGCAATTTGATGACGCAGTTTTTCTCTGTGGAGAGTTCTGTCTTGTTTTCTAGTATCTATTGAGATGCCTTCTCTTCTAGGAGGCGTTTCCAACTGGAAGATGGAACAATGTAGCATGCACATGGTCAGAATTTGATGGGATGGCGATTTATTTCAATGGCATTGTGTCTCCAGTTACCAACGACACACAGTCTTTACCTGTTACAACCGGCGTGAGAGTGGCGTCTACTGATGACTCAGGATATTTATCGGGATCGTTTAAGATTCACAATCTTGCTTACTGGGACTATTATGTTTTCTCTCGGAAAGTTAAACAATTTTTAGGAATGTCAGGTAAACATTATACTAATATTTCTATGAGGTCCAGTTAACTATCATGTACCTTTATTCAACAACAGAAATCACAGCAACGACGAAGATGACGATGATGATATATGAAATTTATATGCACTCCTCACCCAATAGTAGTCGAGGTGTCAAAGCTCTTTCTGAAGTGTCAATCTAACTTAACTGACTGTCAGGATGTGCTATCCAATAGGCTGGGCCATGCTACGTGCATGTCCAACAACCCACACTCAGCCTTGTTTCCCTTCGTTTTGCAGTTTTTTTTAAGTTGGAATTGAGTTAAATGTAAAGACGCTTGCCTTTTCATTTTAGTTAGATTCAAGGATTCATTCCTACATTAGAACATTTTTTTCTCACGACTAAAACCAACTAATCTCTAACCCTTTTAAAGAGACTTAAAGCATAGTTCGATTATGTACATGGCGAGTTTTGTTGGTTTCAAAAGAAATTTTAAAAAAAATAATAAAGAACAATATCGAAAGGCGGGACTTTGCACGACGGTCCCTCTTTCTCAAAAACCTCCGTTTGTAGCTGGAATTTGTATTTTGTTCTCTCCTGATAAAAAGCAACGTTACTAATTCACTTATATTCAAGTAGTACATTTTTTTCTATTTTATAAACTATTTACTTAAGTATTTAATTGTCAAACTTTTTCATTACTAGACTTTCAACTTGACTGCTACTACAATAAAGATTATTGCTGGGTGTTTGATTCCGGCTTATCTATCGTCCATCAATTTAAAATGAGTCCATCCGGAAGTGAGTTCGTCGGTGATTCGACCATGGAAGGACGGGCTGTGAAAACAAATGGAGTAGATGGTTGGGTATCACTTGGTAATGGATTCGGCAACAATTGTCCATCTGATCCTTCAACATGCAGTGGTGGATTTGCTCTTACAATGTGGCTAAAGCTAAATTCTGTCGCTGAAGGGAGATGGTTTAATACTCGCACCGATGGTCTCGGGTATCTACTAAGTCTTGGAGCAGAAACTCCAGGTAAACCAAAGGAATTTCTTTGAAGTATGAGAAAAATATGTTTGTGTACAGGCAGGTCAGGTTATACACAATGTTTAGTAGCTGAGCACTCTCGAATGTGGTCAACTAATAGGGGCGTAAACAGCTACTCTCATTGGCTAGACTCAGAAAGACCGCTGACATTACTGGGTCCCGAGATATTCACCAACATTCCTATTGTGCTGGTATGCCAACATCGTCAATGCCTTCATTCCTGTATTTATTATACTTTCCACATTTCTTGAAGGTGAACGTGGCATATGCGTGAAACAATCTAGAGATGGAATCTCTATTGAGGTTGCGGATGGATCAAGGCTCTGGAAGGTAGATGTACCAAAAGAAAAGTACGCATATGGCGCGTGGTTCCAGCTAGCAATGACTTGGTCCACATCTGATGGCCTGGATGTGGTCATTGGAGAAAGTATAGTTGGTTCTCAGGTGAGAAAATCCACAAATTGCATAGGATTATTGTATTATTACTGTCCTGACTATCAATTTTATTTGAAAAAATATGTGACATGCCTCAATATGGTCATGATGATATCATATCATGACCATATATAGGTATATCATGACCATATATAGGTATATCATGACCATATATAGGTATATCATGGATATACAACAGTTTTTTGTCAAATAACATTAGTAGGTACTTTAACATATAAACAAAAACATGTACCATCATAATGTAATTACTTGCTCTGATGATTATAATCTTTTTCGACTTAAACAGGCAAACGGTGATGTTGATGTTCGACCAAATAATCACAACACAACAATTGTTCTTGGTAAATCTAATGGCTATGACTCGGGTTACGTGTCAGCAGAATACGACGACGTAATTATTTTGATACCAGTGGTGATTGAAAGTTTGCCAGATGCAGAGAGCCTCACAGACCTTGGAGGTGAGATGAAATCAAATTGTCATGATTTTTTATGTTAACATACATTTATATTTTCTATTGCCTACTCTATATATTTGAGTAAGCCTCCTATGTCACTATTTTAAACTGAAAATTTGAATACAAAAATCCGAATTGAAAATGAAGAACAAACATCTTTAAAAACAATAGTTCGGTGTTGCATGAATATTTACTTTACCTAACATCCAGTCGAATGATAGATAGCTTTTAACGTATACATTTTCTTAGGATGAATATTGGCTCACCAAACCAAGACGTGAACAAATGGTACTACAATTTTAACACAACATAAATATATTTAAGATATGAGTTCATATTATATATTTGTCTTTAAAAAAATCAGAAGTAACAGCATATGCTACGGCGGATGAATACTTCGATTTGCCATCGCATTTGGAAACACCGATTCCTGGTGTGACGTTTTATTACACCAGCACAACTGACGACAGAGATGGAAATGCTGACGGTGCTATAGACACACCTAAACCGTCACCAGACGAATCTTTCGGCTATATCAAATTAGGTACGCCAAATAACTGTTATCAGTTACTTTCTTACATTGTATTTCACAGCTTGAGCAATTTTATTTCTATTACAATAGGATTAATCTGTATCAACATTCTGTTTTCACATTTAAGAAACAAACAAATAGAAATAACAAATTAAAAAAAATCCCTGCTTAAACGTTACTTCACTTTATCAGAGTATAATACTGTATGCAATATAATCTTCCGGCATTTTCCTAAATTGAAAAATCCATATTTTTATCTGCAGCTCGTCTACTGTATGTATTGTGACGATTGATATATTATTTTTCGACAAACAATGTTTCATATTCTTAAATTTCATTTATATAATCCTTGCCAAGTAAATCCTTACCAAGCCACAGAGCTTATGAGCTTTTCCGCAGTTTGAAGTAGCATGAGCGGATGAGAGTGCTCACCCTGGGTTGGACACTGGTGGTTCAGCACAGAGTACTCTCAGTAATTTGCTGGTACCCATTGGAACAGTTGGGTAGACTGAAGCAATGAAGATAAAGTGCTCTGTTCAAGCACACAAGCGAAATGCACAGCGAAGGATTGGGAACCAAACCATTTTCACTGTGCCAAACCACCTCCATTATTCAGTGTATTATTTCAAAATAATATTTCTTTCATTACATTTTGTTAGGTCGATATCATAAGAAATGCATGAGCGATCCTGGCAAGTGCTCTCCAGCGGGAGTGACATTTTCTGTGTTTGTCAAATTTGGTTCCATTGACCATTTTCAAGATGCCAGCACAAATCCAGAAGGCCTAGGATATATTATGAGGTACGTACATTTATCAATTCAGGGGTGGATGTAGGGGGTGGGGTGTCCCCCTTTTAGATGGTAAAAAATAAGAAATAAAAGGAAAGAGAGAAAGAAACAGAAAAAATTGATCGACCAAAATGCCTTAAAGGTTATTTTCGGGCGTCTAGAGCACAACAATTTTGAGGTGGCCCCTTGGGTAGTGTATTATCTCAATCGGCCCCACTTTGGGCCCCCCTCCACCTTTTGACATCTATGGATCTACCCTGCAATTGTAGGAATCCGATGTATCAAACTATACCACAGGTACTAATACCAAACATTAGGTCTTTTAAAGTCTTTGTAATATCAGTGACTTCATGATAGAAGAGCTTATCAAGTTACAGTTGTAACAAGTCCTGATTCTCAAATTTTCTTTGACCAAAAAAACCTGTTGTATGCCCATATATAGTCATAATATGCCTCTATATTAGGTTGTGACTTGATGTCATCATGTTCCTGTGTTTCATCATTTCTCGTACTATACTCTGTTGTCTTTATGATTTCGGATACATTATCCGTGAAGCAACGATGACACTGCAATTACCATTTATTAATAAAGTCAATGATAAAATGAATATATATATATATATATATATATATAAGCCAGGGTGTAAGGTTACTCATGATGCTGACTGTTCACGTGATGTGGTCGAACTGCTGACAATCGTAAGATATCAGATGGTTGTACTCCGCTAAGTTTATGCAACCTTTTATAGAGAAAAACCAACGTCTGTTTGTTAGTGGTCATCATTTATGGGTAAAGAAGAGAGAAATTATGGTAAACAGTGAAAGTTCTAAAAAGTAAGGCTAGCAATTAAAGGAATAGGCATAAATGCCATTTCGTTTTCATTTTATAGATGGAAGAAGAAGGCATCGACGACGTGTTGCTAGCAAGTGCGGAACAACGACTGGAAAAATTGGCTGTACCGTCAAATCATCTGACTAGTGAGGACTTAGGAGCGTCTGTAGGGGTCTTTGACGTACTGATTGAGCAGCCTATACCCATGGGTATTAACGAATCGTATGGAATTAGTGAGGTTGACGTAAGTATTCTATACCTGTCTCTTATACACATCTAGATGTGTATAAGAGACAGGCCCCTTGGGTAGTGTATTATCTCAATCGGCCCCACTTTCGCCCCCCCTCCACCTTTTGACATCTATGGATCTACCCTGCAATTTTAGGAATCCGATGTATCAAACTATACCACAGGTACTAATACCAAACATTAGGTCTTTTAAGTCTTTGTAATATCAGTGACTTCATGATAGAAGAGCTTATCAAGTTACAGTTGTAACAAGTCCTGATTCTCAAATTTTCTTTGACCAAAAAAACCTGTTGTATGCCCATATATAGTCATGATGTGCCTCTATATTAGGTCGTGACTTGATGTCATCATGTTCCTGTGTTTCATCATTTTTCATTGTACTATACTCTGTTGTCTTTATGGTTTTCGGATACATTATCCGTGAAGCAACGATGACACTGTAATTACCATTTATGAATAAATAAAGTCAATGATAAAATGAATATAAATATATATATAGTACACTCAATGTACCTGGGATCTTCAATAAATGCTTTATATCATTTTTTAGGAAAATTGATTTACATTTTGTGTTGTTTACAGCTCGGGTGGTCAGCAATTAAACCGCCGTGGCTTCGCAATCTCCTATGACGGTATCAATATCACTGTTGTTGCGCAGACGGTAAATAAACGCTGGAAAACCACTTATCCTATGACGTATTCTCAATCGTGGTTTAACGTTGCGTTCTCATGGAGCGAAACGTCAGGGTTGACTTTATACATAGACGGCATACAAAAAGGTAAGGTCATCTGTGTGTTATGGGCGTGAATGCTATTGTTAACATTTCAAAATGCACATGCATCCCCTACTTTTTATCGTTTTATTGACAGTTTAAATCATTTCTCTCTTTTATATAGCCACAACTTCAACAGGTCTCACCACTTCAATATCTCATGACATTGCCACAATGATGTATTTGGGTAAACGGAATGACCAAGCCAAAGGATACCTTGGGGCTGCCTTCGATGACCCGGCGATATGGTACCATGCTTTCGATGCAGACGATGGGGGGTTGATGGGAGAGGATCCCGATGCGATTGGTAAGCAAATCTAGTGATTACGAAAATGCAAATGTTAATACATATCGTTGAATTATGTAAAATACTGTGTTGTCATCTGATAAACATATCTCATATACAAAAAAAATCATTCGTTTATGGAGTATCAGTCTATATTGTAATTCTTGAATGTGAAAGAAACATCAGATTTTTTCATTTTATTTGGTACATTTTAAGAAAGAAATTTGTATCCAACATAACTTAAGGCATGCAGTTTTTACTTGTTAGATCAATATTTTGATGTTAATATTTACAAGACAATCTCGTTTCTGATGGACAATGCCTTATAATCTGTAGGCTATCAATTGTTTAAGAGCCCACTGTACTGTGATTGCTTTATAGATGTGACGTCGAATCATGATGAATTGGACGAGTTGGCACCATTTACAGGAAAGCCAGGGTGTAAGGTTACTCATGATGCTGACTGTTCACGTGATGTGGTCGAACTGCTGACAATCGTAAGATATCAGATGGTTGTACTCCGCTAAGTTTATGCAACCTTTTATAGAGAAAAACCAACGTCTGTTTGTTAGTGGTCATCATTTATGGGTAAAGAAGAGAGAAATTATGGTAAACAGTGAAAGTTCTAAAAAGTAAGGCTAGCAATTAAAGGAATAGGCATAAATGCCATTTCGTTTTCATTTTATAGATGGAAGAAGAAGGCATCGACGACGTGTTGCTAGCAAGTGCGGAACAACGACTGGAAAAATTGGCTGTACCGTCAAATCATCTGACTAGTGAGGACTTAGGAGCGTCTGTAGGGGTCTTTGACGTACTGATTGAGCAGCCTATACCCATGGGTATTAACGAATCGTATGGAATTAGTGAGGTTGACGTAAGTATTCTATACTATTGTGTGTAAATTTAGTATACAATTTGGCAGACTATAGTAGTTATATTATTACTATTATTATTCGAAATATTCTTTTCATAATATTATTCATTATTTGAAAAAAAAAATATAACATAAGTCTTATATTTACAAAATATAATTATGTAAATGTTGAAAAATGGAATGTAATTGTATATTTCAATTGAAAATTAAATACTGGACCATCTTTCAATGAAATATTAATATAACATAATAAATATGAACACAATTATTACAATTTTTATAGACTACCAAAATTGTTAATGTAATTTTGAACTAATTCATTTTTAATTTATTTTTTAAAGAATTTTGTCAAAATATGTAGCGATCTACTTGATTCTGGTCGTAGTAACGAATGGCATGAGTTGCAACTAGTAAGTATTAATACACTGAAACAATCGTGTCGATGAATTTCCACATTCATAGTTACATATTATAATATTTAAACATAGGTAGGCATGCTAATGATTAAGAGTATGTTTATGTGCTTTAAGGCGTAGAGTATGAAGATCCGTAGTAGAATGTCAAGGAATGAAAAATGTGGAGTTTTTTATTTTGCTATGACCAGACTCTATAGAGACCTTGGAATGGACTTCTGAGGACTAGTAAAAAGAGAGAAATTTACCAAGAATCCAGAGTGACCCAAATGATTAATCAGTCTACATAATATGACTAAACAACAACAAATTATCGTTAGGCCACCAATATTTGTTTAGTATTACTACAAGGCGGTTCACAGTACTTTTATGTAATTTTTCTTTATTGTTTTTAAAAGACGCATCCAGGGTCTCCATCGTTATTGGAAGATTTGGAAAATTATGCCATGACGATGTCCAAGAATCTCCGCAAGGATGATGAGGATTTTGGTTACGTTTTGCCATCAACAAATATTAGTATGTCTTTCTTTTCTTTTTCAAACGTCATTGAATATTGAAAGATCTATAGACGAATTAACTAGATTAAACATTATTAAATATATAATGATATGATAAAGCAATACATCTTTAATAATTATCAGTTATAGAAATTATCATCAACCGTTTACTTGCAAAAATCTTTACAGTACTTCAAACAATTTCAGTATTCATTAAATGCACTACAACTTGATTAGTTTCAAATACAAATATAATTCTTAAAAAACCAATAATGCTACCAATTATTTCGTTTTTTCGTATTTTAACAATATATTAGTGTCTACAAATGCAGCAATTTAATCTTCTATGACTGTTATTACGAGGCATCCTACCTCAATAGAGAGCTTTCTATTTGTGCGACGACACAACGCTAGAACAGAATCACTCATGCGTTCTATGTCCTACCTTCGTCGTGCAATCGAAAGCTCCCTAGTAATAGATATTGCGCGCTTAACACTAATCCAAGTTCGTACATGTCAATCTTGCTTTAGATGTTTTATGCTTTAAGAGATTTTGAGATTTGGTCTTTTTTTTTCATTTCGCATGTTGAATAGTTCTTCAAAGCAACTCGTTTCCAGTCTCCTCATACGGTGAAAATACACTAACTTTCCCTAATTACTCTGACCCACGTTGGACAAATACTATCGAAAATTGGAACCTTACTATGGACTCCATCACCATACCGAAGAATGTATTCAAGTATACAGATCCAGGTACAAATTATTTTATCTTTTTCAGGTCATTATGTAGATATTCATGATATAAATAAGACACACCTCATTTTTAATTACCTTGTATTTAATTGGCTAGTTATAACTTTCATTTTAATCTGATTGGTCGGTTTTTATTTGCTTTCTGTTATACTTCTGTAAATATTGTAAACATATGTGGATGGGTGAGATTTTCTCATTAGTATTCTTGAAAATGGTCAAATAGATGGAAACGTTGAATCTCAAAATGTCTCTGTCTCTTTTCAGAGTTACTGTCTTTTTGTTTTATAAACACTGTATGTTCAAGAAACAGTTTTTGGGACAATTAAACATTTATTTCTTACTATTTATTTATTTAATCTTTATTTTGCAATAACAAAATACATACAAATGGGGATCAACATCCAAGATGGCAAGGAATGACCACAGTTAAAAGAAACTTTGGCTCTCAAGCCGGTCATTTCATCTTAGAAAATGAAAATATAGAACATATACAAAAAAACTACAAATGATTTGCAAGATATAAAATTTTATTTAGCAATGAAAATATATACAGATTGCTAAACAAAATTGGTTTATTATTATTATTATTACTATTATTTACCTATTTATCCACCAAAGGGAAAAATGTTCATACATTTTTCTAAAAAAAAAAAAAAATTCTGTATATAAAGTAACAATTTTGTTTTATTTGCCATCAGAAGTGACAGTTTCCACAATGGTGTTTGTTATTTATGACTCGTTACCAGACCATATGCCACCAAGGGCGTCAAGTAAATAGTAAGTTAACCTTTGACCTTATATACTTGTAATATATATGGCTACATTTTTGTTGTATATTATTATATTAATCATTATCTCCAACAATTTCCTAACAAGCCACACTCATAATAAAAAAGAGATCATATAAAAAAACATCAGCAGTGATGAAAACATAGAAGGCCTATCCAATTTTATTAATACAAACTTGTACAATTTTAGAAATTAGACCCAGCTTCAAATATAACAAATAAGTTTGTAAAAAAATAACTTACATATACCTATCTACAGTGGACTTTTCCGGAGTGTCAATTTAACTTAACAAGTGAATAATCAGAACATACGACTTGGCCCACAAACGCACATGTTTGTTTTTGTTTTTATCTGTCGTTTTTTGGGACCTTAGCAACAATATCCAATGGGCGGGGCTTAGCGTAAAGGTGTATTCCTATCCAGATATGAACATAATGTTCAGCACACCAATGTTCTTTTTTTTCCTTTTTACATTTTCAGTTTTACAAGAATTGAAGGTCGTCAGGTTCGAGTCAACAGCAGAGTTGTGTCGTTTACAATGGAACCAAAGCTTCGTCGTTCCCTTCACAACCCTGTAGAAATTGTACTTCAACATTTAACGGTATACATGCCATCACTATTATTATTATTATTGCCTCCTCTAACGAGGTGTCATGTATTCACTGCTTTTTGTCTATTTATCGTGCAGTCTGTCTCTCTCTCTGCAAAATTATGCAAAAAAAACTAATGAATGGATCATCATAAAATTTAGTGGAATGATACATAATAATCTAAGAAAGGCATGACAAAATTTTCGGAAGAAAAGGTAAAAGGACAAAGTCAAGATCACGGATATTCAAATATTTACCCTCGAGCAAAACGGAATCGCCACTCATATTCAGACAACACTCATGAAAATAATGTACCTAAATAGGACAGGCAATTCCATTATTTTCCTGAGGGTACAGTATACTGCAGTTTTGCCATAGGTGACAGATATAATTATTCATTATATTTAAGTATTTAAATATTTAGATAAAAACAAATTTAGATAAAAACAAAAGCAAAATGAGCGTATCGCTAATATTCTATGATCTGTTTAATATTTATTAATTTGTTTTATAAATTTATTAACAAAATCATTTTATTGATATGCCTTATGAAACGGAGTTTACCGTTCTATCACAGTGTAATTGTAAGTCCTTATAATGGTTTTGTTACTCGTTGCACATCGTATCTCAATGTTTAGATTAGAATAGGCTTCGCCCATCATCGTCGGAAAAAGATATGTCACTAATAATTTGTTTGTGTCATTTATTAACAATTTGATTCATTACTTTTTACAGTCTATAAACGATACAATTGAAAAACCTAAATGTGCGTACTGGCAATATGACGAATTGTAAGTTAAAATATTTTCATATATTATAGAATTTATAATGTAGATTTTAACTTCCGTTTTCTATATGTAACCATGAAACATTGTTTTTGTCTCACGATTGAAATAACGCCCACATAACACCGACTAATATAATTTCAAATCAATTTACATAACATTTAATGGTCTACAGCAACATGAATAATTCTATAATATATTCAGGAATGAAACAAACAGCAAGTGGGCAACAGACGGTTGTTGGATAGGTTACCATAACGACGAGTTTACTAAGTGCTTTTGCAACCATTTGACAAGTTTTGCTGTTGTAATGGATCCGTATGAAGAGGAGGTAAAAAATAATTGACTTGAATTCAAATACATCAGCCAACCAACCAACCAACCAATCAATCAGTAAATCAATCAACAACAACAACAACAATAATAATAATAATAATAATTATAATATATTATTATTATTATTATTATTATTATTATTATTATTATAATAATAATAATAATAATAATAATAATAATAATATTAATATTTATTGTAGTATACTGTATATTACCAATAATAGTAAATGCCATTTATATAGTTCCAAACTAAAATCAAATTCCAAGTAACCAACCAATCAATCAATCAATCAATCATTTAACCAATAATAAACTAATCAATACATTTTTCTCAAGTATTTCTACTCACTTAAAGAACGGCAATAGAAACGAAGTGCATAACATGATATTGAGATTCACATACGTCAACAAGTAGTGCCGTGTCATCGTTTAAACCCATAGGTAGAATCTTCCATTACTATTTTCTTATTACCTACATTATGTACCTGTATTAAAATTGCTTGTTTTTCATCACCAGGAATCTACTATCCATGATTTTTTGCTGCCGTTAATTATTAAAGCTGGATGCGGTCTTTCTATGATTGTTTTACTCATCATAACAGTGTTCCTGCTTCTTACCAAGTAAGTTACCTGTCGTTGCAGGCCTACACCAGCGCCATATTAGAAAGTTTAAGAATTCGCAACGTAAAAGTCATACATCATTATTTTTTTATCTTGACTTCGCAAATTATGAAGTGCACACACACAACACTTTCTTACTATCGTTGCTGGAATGTGAAGCCGAGCAAAACTGCAGGCCCGTAAAACAGTGGAAAATTAGCTAATTCTTAGTAAATTACGCTTTACTTTATATGTTGATATTGTTGAGCTGATAAAACATAAGTTTCATACGTCTTCTTCTATTCTTTGTTTTCACGGACGAGGAATGTTTTACAAATACTTTTTTCTCTAAGCAATTTAAGATAGTAATTTTTGGAATTGATACAAATAAAGTTGCCTGCAGAGAAGAACAGTTTCTTCTAATATTGGCTTTTTTGTTTAAATAAAGTTGGTCCTTGGTTATTATTATTATTATTATTATTATTATTATTATCATTATTCTTATTATTATTATTATTGTTATTATTATTATTAATGTTATTATTATTATTAATATTATTGTTATTATTAGGCGATTGAGAACCAGACGACATACCATTCACGTAAATTTATTCATCGCTGGATTACTGATGTCTGTGTGTTTTTTTGTTACTGCTTTTATTGACAAAGAGGACGAGGTAAGCAAACACATTTATTGAAAATCGTTACCGAGTGATATTAACATTTGGAAATAAATCAATAGTCTTAATCCATTATTATTATCATTGCAACTATTATTGCTCATATTAATTTTTTATTATTATCATTATTGTAATTATAATTAATTATTATTAGTACTATTACATTAAATAAAACTGGCAATCCCTTCACAAGAAAAACATACCATGATACTCTAAATCTCAATATGAAATTATGGAATCGAAACTGGAACCTTGGGATAGGAAGGCAATAATCTTAATTTATTTAGTTTTTAATTATTCTAATTTTATTCATTATTAATATCATTATCATCATTGTATTTTAAGGCTGCTTGTAAGACCACGAGTGTGCTGTTACACTTTTTCTTTTTGGCAATCTTATGTTGGATTGCAGTCGAGTCTGGGCATCTTCTTCTTGATGTCACTCATGGTCTTCTACAAAAGAGCGACAAAGTTGGGGAGCTGTTCTGCTCGGAACATATGAAATACTATAATATCGTTGGCTGGGGTAAGTTCAAATGAGCATAAATGAAACTGAAAATATACCGTCAATAACCCCTCATAAGTAACTTAATGGTCAGTTTAAAAGTAGTTTCCGTGTTTTAACCAGCAATACCCACTGGTTATATTTTTAACAATAATTATTGCAGTAGCGAGTGTATTTCCTAAATAGGTAGTCAATTAATCTTTAATCCTAACATCATTTTCTTATTTTGTTTAATCTATATATACACTAGGTATACCGTTTATGCTCGTTGCGATTGCTATTGCGACTGATGTTGATGCTTACCAACTCCAAGATGGCGACTTGTAAGTTTGTTTCTACTTCGTATTTCAGACGTTTACGAAATTACGACGGAAGCCTTGACACAGCAGAAAATGTATCTCATTTATTATGTATAAAACTCAGCGCTCTGATAAATAATAATTTTTTTAAAAATTGGTTGTTATAAAGTACCACAGTCGTGTCGTTGCCAATCAGACGTTGGTTACCGTTCATTACACCTGAATGATTTCATAGGCTTTCTGAGGCATTTTAAAATCTAATATTTTACCATCAAAATGTACTAAAAACACAAAAGCTTGCATTATATTAGTTATCAAACACACATTTAATCATCAATTAAAATTTCCAAAGAAAAACTAAGATACAACATCTTAATAATTACGTTAGAAATTGGTATCAATGGTTTGTCTGTGGAGAAATGGCGTCCGGTTGAACGCATTTTGCAAAGATAGCAACGGAGTAGTATCACATGGTATCGTGACGTAAACACTGTAGTACTTTATTGTATAAAGTACAAAGGTTTAACTAATATTTCCTTAAGTGCTAGCTAGTACACACCATTTAAAAATCAATTAAAAATCAACCGTTTTTTACTTAGCTGTTGGTTAAACATCAATCAGGGCTTGACTGCAACCTTTATTGCACCATGGATTATCATAAATATTGTAAGTATATGATTTTTAAAATTAAAGTAAATGTTGTCCCATAGGCATTACTGAATGTATTAGTTGTTACTTAGCCAATCGTGGCATTGTGTGGTAGGGTGGCCACCAGCTACATTCTACGCCGCCTTATTCCTCCCCAGTAGTGTATTTATACTCCTGGGTGGAGAGACACAAACGTTAGTAAAGTGCCTTGTCCAAGGACGAAATGTACAGCGAAGGTTCGAACCCCCGACCTCGAGGTTGAGAAACCGAAAGGAAACGCTGCGCCTACCACTCCCACAATTATTTTGTTTTATTAATATTTTATCTTTTATTATCTATTGTTCTCATTTATTACTAGTATTGTTAATAATAGTTCTAGTCGTGTTATTGTTTTTTTTAATTTATTGATATTTGTTATTATTTTAGTACTTTAAACTGATTGTTGTTACTGTTATTTTGGTAGATTACATTTGGCTACCATTTATTATCAAAACAATGATAATCTTGTTTCTTGTAAAATACTAGTATATATTATAAAACATTTTTTCTCCCAACAGCTGTGCTGGTTTGCATTGTTTACAGTCTACAGAAGAACTGATGAAAATGTACGTCGAGAAGATACAACGACAGGGTTTGTGTAAGTCAAGTATGAAAAAAAGTCTAACCAAAGAGGCAATAATTAGTTAGTTAATCAATTAGGGAGGCGTGCATTTTAATTCATCACTCAACCTTTTTCTAGTGGTTGGTTGATTGATTAAATTAATACATTGTTTGATTGAGTGATTGGTGGATTGGTCGATTTATCGATTGACTGAGTGATTGGTCGATCGATTGAATGTTTGAGTTTATCGATTGATTGAATTGATTAACCAATCAATTGATTAACTGGTTGATTTATCTATCTACCGATAAGACAATTTAAAAATTGATTGGCTGTTTGGTTTGTTGATTGATTAAATGATTCGTTCTTTGATATTTGGTTGGTTATTTGAGGGATTGACCGATTGACAGGGGCAGATCCAGTAGGGGCACGGGGGAATGTGGCCCCCCCCCCGTTTTGCCCTAAATTTTAAAAATTTCAATGCAAATCAATGTTACTGTATGTGCATCTCACTTACCTATTCTGAAACTGTTGTGCCCCCCTGTTTGAAAAATTCTGGATCCGCCCCTGATTGATTAATAATATCTAATTTGTACATTTTCACTTAGTGCTGGTTGGAAAGCGTCATCGATACTCCTTATTGTATACGACGTCATGTGGTTGTTTGGAAACCTATCGATCTATGATTACGGAATACTCCTGACATACGTTTTCTACTTCCTCGCTTCATTTTATGTAAGTTTGGTAACGATGTGTGTGCATAAAATGTTAATATTTATATGCTCATATTTATCTTGGTTTGTTATGCTTATTTCATTTTAGTGTTATATATTATCTTGATAAAGTTTCTACTTATTCGTATTTCTTTATCATTTTCTTGTAAATGGACATAGACATAATTTAGAATAAATCATAGAATTTCTGGTTTTGTATCATAAATATCTTTCAGGGTTGTATCATGTACTATTGTCACAGTAACTGGAATAGAGAGGTGAGGTTATACTACTTAGATCTATACTGTTACTATTTACCCCTAATATGCTACTATTACTAATACATAGGCATATGTATAATCACATACACCCACACTCATCCATATAAATATATAAGTGCACTTGTTGGAATCTGGAAGAATTTTAAGATATTCATTAAATACTAGAAATTGCAAATTACAAGTGAAGTGCTGCGAAGTAAAACTGCATAAAATGTTCTTCGAACAAAATTATTTATGCGAGTCAAGTGAAAATAATGAATAATAAAAATATAACAAATAATATGAGACACGACCCATTGTCTATATATAGAACAGCTTTGGTACCGTGTACAATAGTGTTTTGCTGCAGTGACATCTCGCTGCTGGCGACTCGCTGCTGCTGGCGATGACTCGCTGCTGGTGAATCGATCTGCGCATGTGTATAAAATGGTATTTATTTCCGAAAACAGTATGCCAGTCTACAACAAGCGTCGCCTAAATGTAATAATTAGCACGTTGAAATAGGCTAGTAAATATGTTTAACTGGGTTCGTAAATAATATTGGCCTCAAAATATTGTGGCTGAGACATGAGCCGATTAAACGTAGAAATAGGAAACCTAGAAATATAGTAAAAACGCTGAATAGTACTTCAGCGTCGTGACATGCTTACGTTGGTACGAGTAGGTTAGTCTACAAACGTCGCCTAAAGTAATTGATTTTACCCGGCAGAACGAAAGAATGAAACTCCGCTTCTCAGTTGTCTTAGGCGCAGGTTTTTTGACAAACAATGACCTTTCAGAGGTCAAATTGCTGTCAAGAATATAAATTGGCTGCTTCGCAGCAATAAAAGACTGTATTCATATTATATTAAGCAATTGCAATTTTTATAATGTAGTGCACGGAAACCACAGCTGGAAGCTGGAAGGTCTTCTCCCCCCCCCCCGTTTCGGCACTAAATTTTTAAATTTCAAGGCATATATTGAAACTAATGCTAATTAGCGCAACTCACTTATTTATTCGGAGTATGTTGTGCCCCCCACCCCATTTGAAAAATTTTCATCCACCCCTGTAGTGTTAACAGTATTCATGAATTTAACAATTTATTTTGCAGCTAAAAGCAGTTATATGCTTTGAGAATCCTGATTTCGAGCTTACACTTATCCGCCGGATCTACCTGGTATGTTATTTTAAAACTAAATTTGTAATTCATTGTATAGTTTTGTTTAGAAGTGCATTCTTAAATTTGAAGTTTAGCTTATGATGAAGAACAACTATTTTTTTGAAAATGTGTATAATATAAATACGTATCTTGCTGCACCTTAACTTGAAAACCAATGATTCTATTAGTTAAAAGGGGCGTGATGTAGGTCTAAATATCCTTTAGTGCACCCTGTTAGCAGTGAGAGCCTGTGACTTGACTCAAATTCAAGGGCCTGTCAATTATTGCTAATTTGAAAAAAAAACACACCCCTCATTCAGGATGTCCCATGGGTCACTAATAATTATCCTCTAATCATTACCATGTATGGTGTAGTAAATAATATATATATTGTCATTGGATTTCCAATGTTTGTTTCCAAATAAGCGTATTCTATAAATATGTTTCATGGTATTTTGTTATAATCGATACACAACGCTAACAAATATTTATTCACTGTGTGTGAAAATGACGATAAAGTCCATATGTTTCTGTATTGTTGTCATGTAGCCATGGATACGCAATTCTTGTTTAACTAACGCTTTCAATTATTTTGCAGAAACCAGAGCCTGTAAAGAAACCAACACTTGTTTGTAAGTAGGCGTGTATTAATTCCCCATTAACATGTTACTGCCAATTATTCATTTTATTATATTTTTTATCTCATTTTGGTATATAAAAAATTCAATCAAATCAGCCAATGGCATGACTTGTTTGCTTACTAGGAAAATTACAGGAACACATAACTCACTATCACATAAAATATTACGTAATTATAGGGTTTAAAAAGAAGTAAAATAAATTTAGGATTTATATCAGTAAAATTATATATAATAATACATTGAAAAACATTAAAACAAAAGTAAAGATTTAAAATAGTTTTAACAGCAGTGGCTGACTCAATGGTGGGTGGGTGGAGAGGGCCCCCCCGCCCCCGTCAATCAAGCTGAAAAATAATAAAGATAATAAGAAAGAGGGAGACACATTTTAGTTAAATAAAGGAAAGAGGAAAAAAAGGAGTGCACCGATCAGGGGCAGATTTAGGGGGGGCCGGCCCGGCCCCGGCCCCCCCCTTTTGGGAGGTGAAAAAAAGAAAAAAAAAAGAAAAAAAGGAAGGAAAAAGAAAAAAATTATAGCCCACAACGCCTCAAATGTTATTTTCGGGCGTCTAGAACACAAAAATTCCGCCGGGGCATGCCCCCTAGGGCATTGTTGTCCCGATCGGCCCAAATTTCGGCCCCCCTTTCGGCCCCCCCTTTTGGACATCTCTGGATCCGCCCCTGCCGATGAGCTCAGTGGCGATCCAGCAGTTGGTAAAAGGAGAGCTCAATTATTTACCACTTATTTACACCAATCATGATTGGGCTGATGTGGGCGTGGCGGCGTGAACCTCATTTTGCGCACCCCCCTCAGAAATTCTCTGGATCCGTCCCTGTCCAGTGCGACGAAACGCTGCCTAGAGCGTTGTGGATTTGAACAAAGCTATTTAACAGACTGGATTGCCTTGGTTTGAATCATGTAGACCATACCTCATTTTAGCCTGCAGACAATCACCAACTATCTCCACATTCCGAAAAAATCTCTTACTACTATTGTTATTTTTGTTATGATCACTATATTATGATTATTATCCTTATTTCTGTGATTATTATTATTGCTATTATTATTATTATTATTATTGCTATTATTATTATTATTATTATTATTATTATTATTATTATTATATTTTTATTATTACACTACTGGATTTCTACTATTTTTATGCTATTTTTTTTAAAGTAATGTTAATGTTTTTTTTTTTTTGGTTTTTTTTTTTATGTTCTTGCATCTTGTTTACAGTGTTGTTGTTTTTATTGCTACGCTTCGGTAGTTGACACTTGTACAGGGAATATCTCCCTTTGTTAACTACCATCTCATGTAAGGAAAATAAAATTATGAATTATGAATAATACATGATTATAAACTGGCTTGTGTATAGCGAAAACATAATGGACCATTTTGCTAAACCTCACTCATGGATATTGCTAATAATGCTCCCCACTTACAGAGTATTCCTGATAATATTTAAGTACCTACCAGTTTCACTTGGAATTTAAATGTCACCTTGTAGACCTACCTAAACATTTTTATTCAAATGAATTGGACATAATTGCATAGTTTTTAAAAGAATTGTATTATTTTGTTCTGTTAACTTAAAATTACTCGTGGATATTTATAACATTTGTTTATAATTGGGATGATATATGGAATATTCCTCTTTTCAGACCATGCTTGAATGTCTTGTTCTCAAGTTTGTAAGTTGAGATGAGAAAACCGAAGATGAAAAGTGAAGTATTCAACTTTGGTCATGTATCAATGGCATACATTTTCAAAACAGATAGATATCGTTATCAACTTAAATTGTAGATGTGAAAAAATTTCCATCATTTAAGTACCCTGTATCAGTAACATACTTGTCTAAACAGGCTTGTCCACTGATATGTTATAGTTTGATTTTATGTAACGCTATTTTTCGAATTAATACAGTGTTATGCAGTAGGTATCTTTGACAGATTAAAATGATATTATACAAAAATAGTGATATAATAATAGAGATTTGTGTATATTAATCTATACGGTAAATTTTATTTATGACATTTACCGTATATATTAATCTAAAGGTAAATGTTATTTATGACATTTACCTTGTACCTGTATATTAATCTATACGGTAAATGTTATTTATGAAATTTACCTTATATATTAATCTATACGGTAAATGTTATAAATTAAAATATCACTTTCCACATGAATTGTTTGTTTAATAGTACGACTAGTGGTGTTGTATTCACGCAATGCTATGCTACAAATTATAGGCATGTCTATGAAAAATACTATGAAGTATTTTCAAAGAGTGTTAAAATGGTAGTAGTATTGCTAAAATTTATATTGTTTATTCACTACATATTAATTAGTATATTTTGTGAATACTTACCTGGAGAAATTAATCAGTTTATCCAGATAAAATGGTATGTGTCTAATAAGTGACGATATAATTAGCAGTTGAAAAGCCCAATTATATTTAAAGTTATACATACTCTGAATTGCACAGTGATAATATCAATCAATGCAAACTTAAGTAAGAATTATTAAAGATAAAGACCATTACTATAATACAAACCTATATTTTTTATTATTGAGTTGTCTTACTTAACATTAAAAGTTGCTCATAGCGTTTCCTTTCTCATTGATTTGAATAATATATAACAAAGTTGTTGTAGGAAGAAGTTTACCATTAAGGTACGATAAAGAATAACAGTTGTTTATAGATTTAGAATTGATCTAAGTTGTATCAAGTATATTTAAGAATCTTAGTATACCCAAGAAAGTTGTATAAATACCGCCTTGCTATGTAAAATGATGTAATATTTTCAGAATAAAAATATTCTAAACTGCAAATGTTTACTATCGTCCATGTACTGTAATAATAAGAATTTCTATAACAATGACGTTTATTATATATATATATATATACTGATTAAATTTAGAAAACATGAAGAGGAATCCACGTGTGTTCATATGGATAATAAAGAAGAAAGAAAAACAGGAAACGGAG